GCGTTGGATTACTACGCGTAGAATATGCACGCGCTAGATTACTACGCGTTGGATATCCACACGCTGTATTAGTACGCGTTGGATTACTACGCGTAGGATTACCATGTGTTGCATTACCACACGTCGCATTACTACGCGTTAGATTACCATGCGTCGACTATCCTCGCGCTAAATTACTACGCGTTGGATATCCACACGCTGCATTATTACGCGTTGGCTTACTACGCGTAGAATATCCACGCGCTAGATTACTACGCGTTGGATATCCACACGCTGTATTAGTACGCGTGGGATTACTACGCGTAGGATTACCATGCGTTGCATTACCACACGTTGCATTACTACGCGTTGGATTACTACGCGTAGAATATGCACGCGCTAGATTACTACGCGTTGGATATCCACACGCTGTATTAGTACGCGTTGGATTACTACGCACTGAATTACTACGCGTTGCATTACCACGCGCTACATTACTACGCGCTGGATTACCACGCGTTGGATAACTACGCGTTATCCGAAGCTGCCGTTCTCGCATCTGCGCATGCGTAATCCTCGCGCTCTGATTGGTCCGCGTTTTTCCTTAATAATTCAGAAACGAAGCTTCAGACCGAATTTTTGCAAAGGGAAAAGTTGTTCAGAATTTCCAACCCTATCACCCTATTCCGAGAGTTACACTAGCTGTGAGATACCCTGTATAACGAAATAGTAAAGATTTCTATACTACCCGTAGATTTCCAGAAACCTTACTTCTAGTCCTCTAGATCCCCATACGACTGACAGTAACCTGAAACTAGTAACTAAAATATTTGATAACCAATCATATAAACTGTTAATAAAGGGAGACATTGGCGTCCAGAACATCGCACCTGAAAGACGGCTTGAATCGCCTATTCTGCCTAGTACCCTACGAAGTGATCACACCAGACGTTTGGGACTACGTGATGCCGCACTGGATGGAGGCTATGGTGAACGACGTCCCCGAATACGAGCTCCACGAATTGAAAATGATTCTACGGTACGAATCGATCCAAGTAGCCGAAAATAAGTCGTCCGGTTCTTACACCTCGTACCATTGTGACCTGGATCGTTCACGAGCCACGAATTTTTCTAGCAAAATCCTGGACAGAGACATGAGTCCCTTAGGATTCGACGCTAGGAAGATGTACAACTTCGTGGCGAAACGTTTTGTGAATACGTGCGCCAAGGTTCAAGAGCAGGCACTGAATTGGCTGCAGACGCTGACTATGCTGGAAATCAGTATTCCTTTGTGTCAACTGTTCTCGATGTTCAGCGATGGCGTGGCGGTTATGGGGGCCATGAACTCGGCGGAGTCGGAACAGAAGCCTAGCAAGGGGACTAAGAAGAAGGACGACGAGGGGAACGCTATATGTAAGCAGGACTATAGGATACCTTCATCTTCTGTTGGGTTACCTTTTCTTCTTGTAGACATATTTTTCTAAATGTATAAATTCATCTTTATAGATAAACATATGGGTCTATAACGTACTATTTTAGGTTGCATATTTACATCATGTAGTGAAAGATTAAATTAAGTCTCAAGTGTGAGAAGTGTACCTGTGATCCTCTGATATGCCCACATTTGTCCACATTCAAATTTACAAATTCTATGTTGCAAGTGTATTTGCATCCTGATGGGTTAAACCATCAATGTCCAACAGGTTCTGTCGTGGAAAACGAATCAGGAAAATCAACACCACTCTCCGACGACGTTGTACCAACGCCCAGACACATGGAGTTCACAACTAACGCCGAGCTGAATTTATCCTGCTGCATTCTCATGCTCGACATACTTTTGAAACAGGTATTTAATAATACAAATCATCTGACTTACAGCTCTCCTAAATGATTTATTTATACTCTGCAGTCCTGTGTCATAAATGCATAAATATCTACAACCTAGTCTTCGTCAAGGCTACCAACCCAGTCTCATAACGACTGAAATGACTTCAAACACAGCAGATGGACAAATGAAAAAATAATGTTGCAGATGGAGCTGCAGAACATAGACAAACACACGGGCATCAACACGTGGGTATGCAGGGACGCGTGTAAACTGATGAAGTCGATCGTCGCTTCAAATTGGAACAACTGCCACATGTGCAACACGGACACCGAATGCACTTACTGCGAGTCTAGGGTGATCTGGCATCAACTCTGTTTGCAGTTGGTCACTTACATGGCACCTGAGAATCCTGCTTATCCACCTGATGTGAGTTTGAATGCTTGCTGAAAATCATGATTGATCAAACTGGTAGCTGGACTCAAAACTATGATGGATCAACCTGGTAGCTAGGCTTAAAACCATGATCAACCTGGTAGCTGGACTCAAAACCTTGACTGATCAACCTGATAGCTAGGCTTAAAATCATAGGTGATCAACCTGGTAGCTAGGCTTAAAACCATGACTGATCAACCTGGTAGCTAGGCTTAAGACCATGGGTGATCAACCTGGTAGCTGGACTCAAAATTATGACTGATCAACTTGGTAGCTAGACTTAAAACCATGACTGATCAACCTGGTAGCTGGACTCAAAACTATGATGGATCAACCTGGTAGCTAGGCTTAAAACCATAATTGATCAAACTGGTAGCTGAAGAATCTTTATGGATATGATGTACCAGATGTTTAGCTCTACTTTGTATTTCAAGAACATTGATGAATTCAATCTGACAAACTAGTACTTCCACATTCTTTTGAAAGAATCCTTATAAAGTATGTTGTAACAAATGTATAGGTCCACTTCATGTTTCAAGAACCTTTATAAATTTGATCGATCCAGCCTATAGTTCACTTTGTACTCGAGAATCATCTGGAAGCTATCAAACTTGCAGCCCCTTTATATTCGGGTCTCCATAAATCTGCCTTATCAAATCTTTAGCTCTACTTTGTATTTGAAGAGTCTTCATAAATCTGACCCATCAAGCCTTCAAATGATACTTCAAAAGTCTAACCCATCAGATGCACTGTATGATGCTATTAATAACTTCGTAGAAAATCGTGGACGACAACGCAGAGGACCACGGTAGAAAGAGTCCCGAGAGTTCCAGAAAGGGTGACTCGAAATCTGACGTGGTGATCAGTATGCCTGTACCGGAAATGCACTCGGTCGGTGGTGTTCTAGCTCACATGCCCCAGGTACGTAGCACGATAATCGATCAGCGAACATATCGAGGATACATCGATGTGTTACACCGCCTAAATAAACACGTGTTCTATCACTATCTGTCTCGCCGTTTCTCTGTTTATCTATCTATCTATCCGTCTATCTATCTATCTATCTGTATGCGAAACAAAACACTTTCCGCCAGCCAAATAAAAACGCAGCATGCTCCTCGTCTAAACTGTGCGTGTGCCTTCTGTCTGTCTCTCTTCTTCTCCACTGCGAAATGGCGTTACCACTGATACACGGTAGGCTAATCTATGTGGCCGGAGGTAGCTATTTTGATCGTTTATATCAGTTCTTCGAACAGATCATGACAGCCACAGTAGAGACAGTTTCGGAGCAGCTGGATCTGGCGGCCATCATGCCGACGGAGAAGGTCATGTCAGCGGTGGCGAGGGCTGTTACTCTGTCAGATACTGATGTAGGTGAGGGTCATATTTTTGTATTGCTATTTTAAGGTTAGTGAGAGATAGACTTTTGTTATATAGGCAGATTGATACATTTGTACATTCGCACAACACAGCGGGTTATTGTTAAGAGTTGCGTCACTGTGGGTTGTAGTGACACGTGGTGAACTACTATGTGACACTGCATTGAACTAGTACATATTGTACTGCCATATGTTAGAGTATTATGTGGTGAATTACTATACGCTGAAGTACCACGCATTGAAACACCGCGCGTTGAATTACTACGCGTCGATTCACCATGCGTTGAACTACCACGCACCGATTTACCATGCATCGAACCAGCACACATCGAACTTCCACGCGTCGAACTACCATGCGTGGAACTACCACGCGTCGAACTACCACGCACCGATTTACCATGCATGGAACTACCACGTGTCGAATTACCACGCACTGATTTACCATTCGTGAAACTACCATGCGTCAAACTACCACACATCGATTTACCACGCGTTGAAATACTATGCACCGATTTACCATGTGTGGAACTACCACACGTCGAATTTCCACGCGTCGAACTACCACGCACCGATTTACCATGCATGGAACTACCACGCATCGAACTACCACGCACCGATTTACCATGCGTGGAACTACTACGCGTCGAACCTCCACGCGCCGATTTACCACGCGCCAATTAACCACGCGTCGAATTATCACGCGCCAATTTACCATGCGTGGAACTACCACGCGTCGAATTATCACGCGCCAATTTACCATGCGTGGAACTACCACACGTCGAACTTCCACGCGTCGAACTACCATGCGTGGAACTATCACGCGTCGAACTTCCACGCTTCGAACTACCATGCGTGGAACTACCACGCGTCGAATTTCCACGTGTCGAAC